TTTTCCATGTTGTTTATGCTCCTCAGTGTTGCCAGTTTGTTGCTTAGATCCAGAATCTGGGATTCCAAACAGACAACTCGCTCACATCTAGCACAATTGTATTCCCCCTCGAACGCATGTTCAAGGAACGCATACATTGCACATGACATGCACCTGGTTGCATACCCACTCATGGAAGACATTATTTTATTCCACCCTTACTATTTATTTATTTATTTTTATTTTTAGTGTATATTAGGGATTATATAAGATTAATTATTTAACTGTAGTTTTATTTTCTAGGGTTTAGTGGATCACGAGTGGCCTGTTCAATAACTTGTTTGTTAAATTAAATAATTTAAATTAACTTAGATTAAGATAAATAAATTATACTGAATTATACTACCAACCTGGGTTAAATTATGGTTCACAAGTGGTACGGTCAATAACTTGTTTGTTAAACTAAATTTAATTTATACCTCCGCCCTGGAAGAAGTTACAACCGCCCTGGTTAAACGTCAATTGTTTAAACGCCAATTTTTTCCGCCACTTAGCTCCCAGGCACTTTGTTCTCCAAGCCCTGTGTGAGCAAGCTCAAAGTGAGTGATGCACTAGTTTATAATACACCTGCTCAATGAGAGACACCTGAGCTCAATTAACCCCTCCCCCTAACAAGAGCACTGCAACCTGAGGAAAAAAAAAAAGGGAACAGTTTAAAAAAACTGACAGAAAAGGAAAAAGAGTTTTTAAATACTAAAAAAGGGTCTAAAAAGGAAGGGAGACAACAAGTATTTCAAAAAATCAAGCACTCAATATATCCCAAACAGTTCAAATCCAAATTTTTTACGCCACTTAGCTCCCAGGCAATTTGTTCGCCAAGCCCTGTGTGAACTTGATATGTCCTGAGAATTATACCGAAAATACACCGAAAATTGGCACCAGTGTTTGAAGACGAGGACATTAGATTGTAAGCTTCTTCTGAGGAATTGACTGATGTGAATGGTTCAGCTCTAAATACTTAATGAGCCGTTATAGAATGTGTCATCCCTGTAAAAATGAATAACATTGAAGTGGACCTTTACACCCTTTCACTAAAAATCTTATCGGCATGCAGCGCTGCATACAGATATGTAATCATCTTACATTCATTAGTTAAACATATTTTGCTTCTACTTAGTTACTATTTTTCCACTTCCTGGTCCTCTTGGGCATTGGTGATGTAGCCCATGCCTAAGAGATGCATCTTGGGAAGGTTACATCAGCAACGCATTACTGGGAAATCCTATCTGTAAGCTGCAAGATCTCAGTCTGGGTAAATCTGCAAGCATCAATGCTTGACTGATCCTTTACAGAAAAACCCTTTTAGGTGCCAAGCTGAAAAGATATAAAAGTGTATTTCATTGCCACAACCAGCATTTTGCACCATTTCTTCTGAAAGAGTGGTTTAACGATTTCTTAAATATGAACCCTGCCAGCATACTGCCATACTAAACCATGATTAGCTGCAAAACCCTCATATCAGACTGACTTTAAGTAGCAAAGCCTGATACAGATCGTATATGAAAATCAGTAACTGCTGAGTCAAAGTGCCTACAAAATGTCTCACTGGAGCCATTCAGATCGTTTAGTAGGCAGTTGGCTCATGGGTGGGGCACCAGCTGATGTGTGTTATTTCTAAATTGATGTGCCTGTCAATTTTTCTAGACCTTAAGGGCCTGTTCACATATCAGGTGCGGATCTGCAGACTGATGCAGTGCGTTTTTGCCACGTTTTGGTTGCGTTTTTGATGCGTTCCAGTTTTTGTTTTTTTTTTGCTGGAGTGGGGCTGTTAGTATGTTAGCTGCAGTGCAGTGCGTTTTTTACGCGTTTTTGACGCGTAAGCTGAACGGACTGCGCACGTGAGAACTGGAGCCCATAAAACACATAGGGATACATTGGGATGCATTTTGAGTGCAGCAGCGTACGGAGCCGGTCAGCACACTAAACGACGTCGTGTGAACAGCCCCTTAGCGAGGAATCTGTTTGTGATGCAACTAGTGTATTCTGCGTGGCAGTTCATTACTGTTGGTTCTTTAAGATCTAATATATGCTGATATAAGAAGAGGTTCTAGCACTTTTTTGCTCCATCGTGAACTAAAAAAGTTTTGTCTGGACCTTTAGTTTAAATATTTGTAGATTTAACTAGTATGTAATTAGTTTGTTTAATTTGTTATACAGTTGGCTGTCTTACCTAAATACTACCATTCTTTTTCTTTCAGCACACAAAGAAAGACCTGGCAGGCTTCCAGAATTTGTTTCACCGATTTTTGCAAGAGAAGGGCCCTTCTGTGGACTGGGAGAAAATCCAGAGACCTCCAGAGGATTCTGTAAGTTAGGATATTTTTTTTTCTTTACGAAGTGCTAAGCAGGATATCTGTCGGGAAGTCTCAGAGGTTTCATTCAGTGTTAAATCTTGTACTTTTCCGGTGTGATGGTATATAATTATGTTTTCTTGTTTTGTTCTTGCTCCGGTTCCTTTGTTCTACTTTTGTGTGTTTTGGCTGTACACGTTCTGATGATGCAATATTGGGTCACTGTACTTCAGGTAACAAGGTGACCACAGTTAAGAAATGTGACATGCCTCATGCCTGTGATGTATAGGGATATTGTTAGAATTCCCAATGTGAATACTGAGAGGGAAACATTTCAATTAGAACTTCAGTGTAAAGAGAAACACTCTCCACCTCCGAGAACCCCAGCAGCAGCATTGGGCAGTCCTTACTGCAGCACTAAATGTCATAATGGGCTCCATGACAGCCCGGGCTCAGAAGAAGTGAGTTGAATGATGCTGGCAGTCATTGAACCCGGAAGAATGACTACATTTAGAGTGGGGAAAAATGATTGTGAGGGACTGCTACAGATTGAAGTGTAATGTGATGTCTATACACATAGACATCAATGTGTTGACATTGATGTCTATGTGTATAGATCACATGGTCTCTTTTAGCTAGGGCTGCAACCAACTAATCGATAATCGATCAGGAGAATAGTTGTCAACGAGAGAGAACTAATCGATTAATCGGGAAAATTATTGGGCAACTAATCGATTATGAAAATAATCGTTCGCGGCAACACTACTTTTAGCAGTGTAACTTTTTTCTCATATCACTCATGAGCTGCACGTTTTGCTTTTGGGCTTATGATTGAAAATGGCTAAAGAAAGAACTGCTTTCGTAGCAGCCATTCAAATGTTCTCTTTTGTTTGAGCAAGCATCACTACAATCCTGAAATTAAGAATCTAATTCGTACCTCTGGCAGCAAGATCTCTTCTTCCTTAATTTACTTTGATTCGTGAGGCCCAGTTAAATGTGCACTCCAGGCCAACCGCTAACTATATGGTTAAAATGCATATAGTATAGTAGGATTTGTAGTTTTGTCAAGACGTATATACATACAGCTCTATATTGTATATACTACTAGTAGTATGTAGTAGACACATCAGTTTATATAGTTTATAGTAATAGTAGACGCATATCAGCTTCCCATCATGAGGAAAGCTCCATAAATGCAGGGATAGTTCTCTAGTGAAATGAACATATATTGTTGCAAAAATGTATGTTTTGTACTGACTTTTAAGAGACTATAATTGTCAGTGGTATAAACTCAATGAACACACAATCTAGTCAGTCTAAATCAGGGATAGGCAACCTTGGCACTCCAGCTGTGGTGAAAATACAAATCCCATAAAGCTTCTGCTCCGACAGTCAGGTCTGTAGCTGTCAGAGTCTTGCAATGTCTCATGGGACTTGTAGTTCCACCACAGCTGGAGTGTCAAGGTTGCCTACCCATGGTCTAAATGGTACAGAGGGTCTGGCAGGCTTTAGGAGATTTTCCTTTGTATCATTGAATAGAACTGATGTGTTGAAACAAAATGAGAACAAGTTTTCGTCTTCTAAAGCACAGCAATGTGAATCCCCGTCTTGTTACATAGTAGTTGTGCTTGGACATGTCATCGTACGAGTGGCAGGAAGCCAGCCTGGCACCAACCCAGCTTGTGAGCCAGAGTATAACAGGGCAATACATAAACACTGGGCCCTTTTTTATGGGGGCACAAGCAGGCTTTCTGTGTCTGAATCTGAAGATGTCCCAGTAAATCATGCCAATCAACTAGTGGAGAATTGCTACCCGCTGAAGTATATTAACTTACACATACTGTACACTGAAATGAACACGATGACTGTTAATTGTAATCCTTATAGGTACACTGCAGTCCAACAAAGTCTAGAAGAAAAGCAGAAGGCTTAGCAGGTATTCTGTGCTCCCTGTATGCATTTCAAAACCTAATTTTTTATTTGAAGTGCACAAGGGCACGCCTTGGTCTGAGAACCCCTTACATTGGATGTTGGATATGTATTCCCAAACACACCCACTGCAGATTCCTCTCTCTCCCATGTAGAAAGCTTGATGTTAAAAAATAATCAAGCGTCAGTACTAAAAGTTTTCTGACCTCAACCAATTTGATTCAAACCATGAATGTGATTGGTGATGCAGGAAGTAGAAAAAGCTGTACACAACCTTGGCACTCCAGCTGTTTTGGAACTACAAGTCTTAAGATGCATTGCAAGACTGAGAGCCAGAGGCATGACAGGATTGGTAGTTTTGCAAAGTTGCCTAACCCTATTTTAGATCATGATGGTTGTTTTTTTTTCACATTTTGACATTGCAGCTTTCCATTTTTTAAACTTTTATAAATTGAAGTAAATTATGTTAATTTAGCAGCAAAGTGGAAAGGTTTGCCCAAACAAAACACATTTATTTTTATAAATGGATTTATTAGCTTAAAAAGTGCAGTTACACAAATTGATGTGGTAGTTCTACCTACATGTCTCTAATAAGTTCCAGATATGATTTGCATGGGCTTTACATCTGGCTGGGAGTGAAGGTCTCATATTCTTAACTCCAGCTTGTGAAAGAGCGTACTGTTTGTCAGTAGGAAGCTTTCTCCTCCTTCTGGATATAGGCATCTTTTAGTTGAACTGGCAGTCATGTAACCTGTCATATAAAACAGATTTTCAGAAATCCTTTGTCGGCCAGTTGATATCTTGTCACCTGATGGTTGAAAATGTGTCTGGTTTTCGCCTGCTCCTTGACATTTACTTAAAAGCTTAACTCACAGGGAAGTAAATAAAGGATCCGTTATACAGACCTCTGTATGACTAAAATTAAAATGCCTGCACTGTTTTATGTATACTTAGCGGTTTGAGCTCACCATTCTGTAGATCAGACATGGCCTCCTATGTGACTACAGTCAGCTCCTGTATGAGTATGTGCTCAATAACCGAAATGTGGCTGGAAAAAAAGATTGAGAAGCTAAGATTTTTAAAAAAAAACCATTTCTGACCATCTTGTATTCAGCCATTTTCATAGCGTTCATATTTTATCAAATGCAGGTTTGCATTACGTGCTCCAGAAAAGAATAAGTGCAAAAGCTAAACTCCAATAAAGAAACATTGTGTGTGTGTGTGTGTGTGTGTGTGTATATATTACATACACCAATTTTACCAGTCACCCTGTACAAGGAGAGAGAGCAGCAGTAACTGGTCTTTATTACAGGAAAGTCCTACACAGAGGCAAAGTAGAGGAGTTGCTTAAAGCTGGATTGCTGCACAAATACAGTATGAAGGAAATACACACAGCACACCAAGATTCAAGTAAGAATGCAGTTGCCTCATGTATTTAGACAATATTTATTTAGTTTGTAATTTAACTTTAGGATAAACTGATTGACTTTTTCTGACTTTAGCCCAGTTGCAGCGTTTAGTAACATTACTAGCGCGCTCATCTTTCACTTGACTTTAAATTGCCCTTAAATTCTTTATTAACATTGATATATAATACATCACAAAAGGCAGCATACAATATGGGTATAGTTTTCTGATGATGTGATCTGGGAGAGGAAAATCATTCTCATCAAGAAAAGTGGAAGGTGAGCATGAAAACAAGTGCTCTGCTGGCTCAGGAAATGTGAACCCCAGGGCATGTTACATAGGTGCTTTCTCTGAGCTTGCCTTCTGCTCTCCATTGTTGAACGTTACTTTTCCTCTTGTCTGTCCCTAGATTGTGTAATTGGAGAATCTAGCTGGGTGTTCACATTATCCAGGGCATTTCAATAGGCAGGGTACTAACATACTTCTAGGAACGTGGCTCAGGGTAGAGATAAGGCTGTGTATAGATAGTGTTGTGTAATTGTATACTTCTAGATCTAGTGCTGGATTTTTCATCCTAATAATAATAATTAGCTTGACAAAGCACGTAATTAAGTATTCTTCATCAAGAGACGCACATCTGAAGACTTGGAGAATTCCTGGCTAATTTGTGACGATCTGTAGAAAGCGTGTGAAATGGCAATCGAAGAACTACCGGTACTACTTGGAAATAAATGAGAAGCAGTGTTTTCTAAAATAAATACAGATGTGGACACGTTTGTTGGTACCAATAAAGCTCTTTGGTACAGTGCTTCATTCCTCCTGAAAAGTGATAACATTAGAAGCAATTGGTGTATATACCTGCATGCCTTTTGGTATGTTATACCTGGGGTAGAAAAACTCTGGCCCTCCAGCTGTGGTAAAACTACAAATGCCATCATGCCTATGCCTCTGGGAGTCATGTCTGTCTGTAAGAGTCTTGCCGTGCCTAATGGAATTTGTAGTTGCACCACAGCTGGAGGGCCAGAGTTTGCCTACCCCTGCCATAGAGTAAAGCAAAACGGGAATAGAAATAAATTCTTGTTTATTGTACAAAGATATTCTAAAATGTCCTGGAAAGATTTGTGCCCCTACAAATCATTATAAATAATTGGACCATAGTGATCATTCAAACTATTTTTTCTGTAATTATTATCACAAATGTCTTCAATCTAGTAATTAGTCAGTCAGCATATTTGAATGGAGAAAAGTAGTCACGCTGCGGTTTGATATCATGTTCACCATAATAAACATGGACCACAGAAAGTAAAGGAAAGAGTTGTGTGAGGAGAGCAGAAAGAAAATTAAAGACCAGCATGTCAAAAGTAAAGGCTGTAAGATCACTTAAACTACCAAACCATATACTGGTTTTGGACTACAACAGACCTGAACATTTATGTGCTCCTAAAAAAGATTCAGATATATCAAATATTGTTACATAAATATAACGCTTTATCCCCTCCCTAGACAAAATTCTACAATGCCCCTTTATTACCAACCCTTTTCTTAAAACGTGTATCTGGGTACATTGATCCCAATAAAAAAATCCACTGTTCTAGGACTCCATATCTGTGAAAGTACTCCCAATACACCATATTTGTAGAACAGACAAGCTGTCTGGGATAAGAGTTCTACAAAGTTCT